GTTGGCAGTGTAGAGGTACTCCAACACTAATCGCAGTCCAATGGAGGAGCAGCCTTGGAGTACCAGGTTATTGATGGGCCTGGCATTTGGGGTCACCAGCTTGTCATCAGGAGATGATGACGGGGTCCCACTGCTGCCCTGGTCTCCTTTGCTCCCTTCATTGTTGATGGCATTGTGAGAGGAGGAGAAGAGTGATCTGAAATACTGTGAGCAGGAGGCCAGCACCGCTTTGTGGCAGTGGAACTGCTGTCCCTGGGCAGTGAGAGTCACATCACAGAAGAGCTGCTTCCTCCATAAGAGATTGAGCCCGTGCAGCAGGGTGTCACTGTGTGTTGGGTCAAAGGTGGATGTTCTATCACCCGATCTGGACATGACTTCCCGACTGTGAACGCCACCTAGGCGACAAATAAACCATGCAAGCCATTTACTTCAGGTCATTTATTTGCACCCGTGCAGCCCCACATAAAAGATGCTTCCAGCCAACTGTTACAATGGGAATAAACGATTTCTTGGGCAAGTTTTCGAGCAAATCGCGCGTCCATGTGGCGCCGTAGAATCGGTGGCGAGGCAGCGGGAGACGATGCGCCTCCTGCGCCGCTGCCGCCGCCGTAACCGCGGCTCTCAACTTTGCATTCTGTATAGGCGTATAGCAGCAAACCAAAACACATGCATTCGCACCGTGAGCCCTTTTTAGTCATCCTCAGCCGGAGGAAAGATGATCTAAACGCAGGCGGAGATGTGAAGGGCGCCGATGAAACGACACACCGGGAGGATTCGGATGGAGACGCTGCTGCAGATCGCTGCTGCTGCTGCTGCTGGCGCGGCTGAAGTTGTCGGGATGTGGAGACGGAGGAGAAGAGCGGACAACACGCAGCATTCAGCCAGCACTTACCCTCTGCACAATAACCCACAATGAGGACATAACACATGGCACAGATTTACGCAGTTAATACCAGATGAATCGGCAGATCCGTCAGCGGCAGCAGAGGCAGCAGAGGCAGAGCAGCATGGGTGCGATTCGTATTTAGTCTGCACGCGAGTTACGCGGACGTGAGTATCGGTAAATATTCAACGAAATGTAGAAGTTGACAGCAACATGCACGGATAATGTTTCCCATAACGGCACAAAGGCTATTTCTTTGTGCGTAATGTGCGCTAACTTGGCACAAGCGTGGCTTCCAAAGCGCCTGTCAGAACTAAATGATGTGAGCAGCTCGACTGAGAAGGAGCCAAACTTACCTGACTTCAGCTCTTGAACCCACAGAAAGTAAAATCCAGCTTCCAAAAATAATCCCACTTCAAATCCCCTTTGTTCTCCTTGAAGAAGAAAAAATTATATCCTTTTTGGTAAAGAAAAAAAAGTCTAGGTTCGCCGGTCAAACTCCTAAAGTCACAATTTCAGGTTATTTGTTGACGTTGATCATTTGTTCTTCTGAATTAACAAGAAGTGTGTGAGTGTGTGAGAGGGAGCTGTGCTTTCTGCAAGAGAAGAAGAAGAAGAAGAAATATACGTGTGACAAATTATGCTACCAAGAAACAACACATCATTATCCTTGGGCCTGGGGCTCAGTGAGTCGTAACGAGAGTAATAGGAAATCCACGGTTGGGGAGAGAAACGGTCGTGCATGGCCGGTGGAGAGAGACCATGCAGGGGTATGGATGCTGGAGAGACTCGCAAAATTATGGCTCAAGGCTATTGTAAAAACTGTCGAGCGTAAATGACTGCGATTTCAAACATCTATGGAAGAAAGAAAGGAGAAAAAGGGGGAGAAAAAAGCCAGTCTTTCCCTCGCTGTTATGGAGAGAACCGTCAAGTTTTAGTGCGCATTGCTAATTAGTCAATTTCTCTCTGCCTTCACAGCCCGACGACTTTGCTGCTGAGCTGAAACTGCTAATTTCTGGGACCAGCCTTTTTTTGGCTGTGAACTGGATGGATGAATGGCTTGTCTCGCACAAATGACAAAAAGCCCCTGCCTTAATCTCCATCGCCAAAATAACCCCTCATCTCATTCTGCTCCTGCAAGTCCTTCAAAAAAGAAGGTGCTTTTGCACAAACCTAACTTTTGCATGTGGGGTTTTTAAAAACTGCACACACCATAGTACTCTACCATTGTTTAATTAATCATGTAAACAGACCCCCGACCCCTCCTTTTGTTTCTCGATATGAACGACAAGCACGAGGCCACAAATGCAGGGACAGAACAGTAAAATAAACTGATGCAAAGTTATAAAGCAACATGCAGTAAAATAAAGTTGAAGCCAGGGTAGGGTGTTTCGGCACACTATTATCTCATCTGGTCACTTCATTGTTTCTCAGCCTGCAGGCCCGGCTACTGGCCTGTAAACACAAAGGCTCGAAACCTAATCCAACCTCCATCAGTGCGCGGTGGTGTGCTGTAGCTATGTGTTTGTCAAGTCCCGTTTGTAGATTTAGATTACACTAACGAACACGTTCTCTGCACGGACTTTGTTCACCAGATGTTGTTAAACTTATATATGAGTTACCCAAAAGTAGAAACCTAGAAGTTGTAATATGTTATTCATTTGAATTTGTTTTTATGGAAACACATTCTATGCACCTTACAATAAGCGGTGCACGTTCATTACTAAGTGCTTTAGACTTAGTCACGGCCCATACGGTGGTAGAGGGGTTTGAGTCACGGCCCATACGGTGGTAGAGGGGTTCGAGCTCTTGCCTCTATGATCGCTAGTTCAATTCCTGGTGGTAATTGATGGTGTTTCTGTGTTTGTAGTTCTTCGCTCCAACAACATGCAGGTTTAGGACACTCCGTGGGTAAAAGTGTCAGTTGTTGTTTGTCTCTATGTGGCCCCTTTGATGGACAAGTGAATTGTCCAGAGTTGAACCCCACCCTCCCGGTTGACTGCACATATGGCACGTAAGCATCTCATGTAACTTTGATATCTAGCAACTGTTTACTGGATGTAAACAATACACACCAGATGTGTCTGAGCTGATGCTGAGTCAGGAGCAAAAGGTGATGCTGCTCTAAATTACCTTAAATAAACCGAATATTTTTGATGGAAAAAACAATGGTTTCATTCAATGATCTCTATGTTAGTTAAGTATGAGTTCTCATCCCTCCATCCAAGACTATTGTTCTACAGGTTTTAACAGCAGGAATAAAAAAAATGAACCATTTCCCAGAATATTTATTCAGCATTGTGGCCCCCTATGTGAGTAACAAGGTAGTGCAATTGTGGTTGCAGTTTTAAAACAACTGCCAATCAGAAAGTTAAATGAGGCTTATTAGGACAGAATAAACTGTCAATTAGATAAAGAGCTCAGATAGAGTAAAAAAAAAAGAAAAAAGAAGTAGACCTGCATGCAGGTCCTCCCGTGGGACCAGAAGTGACAGATACCTCACAAGTTCTGAAATGACAGATAAGGAAAAATGGGTTTGTTCATGTGGTATGAAATAGTGCAACAGCGTGATATACTAGAAGACACACGGCATGTTCTGTCTCCTGTACTGTAGTACCACCGAACAGACTGGTTAGATGGTACGCTGGACGTCAAATACTGATCACCGCTGAAGAAAACTTAAATACTTCACCATTAATTAGTGGTTCTCGGCCACAGGACTCGGGCTTCGTACTGTTTGTACTGGCTCTTACACATGCCACCGTATTTCAATATGGAGTCACGTCCCGTTATCGTTAGCAGGACTCCGTTATCCCTGCATTAGCCAAGTCTCAAGCGAGCTATTCTAACGCAATAAAATGACCATTTCCAACTCTTTCAGCTCTTTGTAGCAACTCAGTCTCCTGAGGCCACTGGTCTTCAGATTGCAGGGCGTTTATGGTTGTAAGTTGTTGCAGTGTGCAAGAGGAGGAGGGGCTAGAGGGGGGTCATCAGATAAGAGAAGAATTTCCAGACTAATTAAACCCTTTGAGACAAAGAATCACACTACAGTGATTTACAACTCTCTGTACCAGTTAACCCGACTCATATTTATCTGTCATATTACTCAGATACCATATCTACCTCTGTGAGTAAAAAAAAAAAAAAAAATCATGTATGCTAAATGTCTTAATACAGGGGAAGCAACCAAAATTATTACTGTAAATAACAACTGTTTAACATTTTATACATTATTACGTTTTACCAAAAATAAATTGTTCACAAAGATACCAGAGTACAGTGGTGGCAGAAGTTTTAACTTTTCAGCATCTCCTCCACATAACTTTCTGCTCTCCTTTTTTTTTCTTCCTTTTTTTTGCAATGCTTACTGTAACTACTTTTTTATTTAAGGGGAATCATAATTCTATATATTTAAGGTCTTAATACTTGAATCCTTAAAGAACTCAAAGAACCTTTATTAGTCATGATACCATACATATGTCAACGTATTATTCTGACTCTCCTGAGTTTGTTCAATCTTTTGTTGTGGAATCATCCATTAAACAAATCTTCTCACCAAA